GGAGATGTTGGTTGGTTTGGGTCTTTGTCTGCTTGAAAATGCGAGCTGGCAAGTGGAGCAAGTGGAGCAAGTGGAAGTTCGATAAAGTAAAGGGTGCGAGTATTTTATTTCCCCGGAGTAGACTTGGCCAACTGATGGGCCGGGTCGGGTCGGGAGACGGGTGGCCTTTGTATTATTTTTTTAGACGGTTCGGACTCAGCCCGGCCCTAAAAAAATAATACAAAGGCCGCCCGTCTCCCAACCCGGCCCAGACCGCCAGAGAAAAAAAAAATAAAATTTAAAGAACCGGAACCGACCCGTATGGCCACGATTCCGGTTCACAGAACCGGTGTAATACGGGCTGGTTGCGGGCCGGTTTGGTGCCGGGTCGGCCCCTTCGCCATGTCTATCTGGGAGACTGCTTAAATTACTGAGCTTTTTTCCTATATTATTTTTACTCGAGTTCAGTTAAGGATCATTGTTATATTGGCTTCATCCAGTTGTTTTTGAATTTTTTATCGCCACATAAACCATATGGGGGTAATTTTTATTTTGGTTCTGTGCAGTGGACTAGGGAAACAAAATTTCCCCATGCCGTTTGGGCTGCTGGTCGTGGTCTCATGGCTCATCTGTTACCCAACTTTGATGTTGTTGAATATCTGTGGCTTGAATCTTCTAGTTGGGAGGTATAGTTCGTCTTTCATCTTTTTCACGTTACGCATCTATCATATCTAATACATAGTGTGCTGCCTCTGACTCAAGTACAACACATGTCACTCGATGGTTTGACATATTATAGTATAGAATTTCTCACTCAGTCAACATATCTACTAGTCAAATATCTACTGTGAAATTTGTATCATAGTACAGAATTTCTCACTCAGTCAACATATCTACTAGTCAACATATCTACTGTGAAATTTGTATATTTTGCTCCCAATTAATCAATCTAAACATAGTCTAAATGTACCTATTCCAATTGCTTCATTATGGACCTGTCATATAGGGCCTTGATATACTTAACATCCCCTTCAAACTCACAACTCAAGTTGGAACTCGAGGATATGAAGCATTGTGGTTGAGCAAGTGAAGCTGATGTTGTTTCGTAGTTTGTGCTTTGGTGAAAAAACATGCCACTTGCAGTTCTGGGGAATAAAAATTGTTTTTTGATCACTATCACATTGGGACACGTAAAGGAAGCATTGACACCAATGTGTTTTGTAGGCTCATGCTTCACAGGATCACATTGGCAATTTATATCGCTCCAGTATTATCACAAAAAAAAGGTGTAAGAGCATCACATGGAATACCAAAATCACCTAACAAATATTGAAACCATATAATTCTGAAGTGGTAGTGACAAGTGCTTGAAGTTATGCCTTTGTGCTTTCTTGGACTTTCATGTAAGAGGAAGAACAAAGAAAAATGCAATAACCAGTGACATAACAACTTTTTGTTGGATTACTAGCCCAAGTAGAGTCCGAGTAAGCATGAAGTTGAAGCGGACTATTACGAGCATAAAGCGAATACTGAGATGATGTGCTCCTTAGCTACCGGACACACGAATCAAATGTCCAAAATAAACAAAAGTAGGAGCACTCACAAACTTACTCAATATATTAACAACATGAACAATGTCAAGGCCTGGTAACAATAAGATAAACTAGATTGCCCACAATATGCCGATATCGAAAGGGATCCTCAAGAGGACGAAGCTGCAAGTGAAGATTCATAAGTGTAGCCGTTGTCAGATTATCAGTAGTAATACTAGAACGAATAAAAATATCTTGTATGTATTAGGGCTGAGTGAGAGTGCATCACCTCAATGCCCAAGAAGTAGAGGACCCAAATAGACATTCAAAATTGCTGTCCTAGTTGTTTTCTTGACATGAGAAATATGGTCTAAATCATCTCCAATAATTAACATATAAAAAGAAAAATAGTACGTGTGAATAAACAAGGCAACATCATGATTAATAGAAAAACCAACAACGTGTATGATAGAGAAAGCGCTCAAACCAAGCACATGGAGCTTGTTTGAGACTATATAATGAGTGGCGAAGACGACAAACATGTCCGAAGGGGGTATCAACACCGGGTAGTGGCTGCATATAAACTTCTCATGCAGATCACCGTGAAGAAATGCATTCTTCGCATCCATATAAGACATGGTTCAAGAATGAGTAGCATCCACCGCTGTCAGAGTACGCGCACAGTGGTTATGTAAGCCACCAACAACAAGAGAAAAGGTCTTATCACAATCTTGTTTTGAGTTTGCTGAAAGCCTCTAGTAACAAGACGAGCTTTATATCTCTCAATGGAACCATCAGACTTCGTTTTAATCTTAATGGAACAATATCCCCTTGTACGATCAAGTGCAACAAGCTCCTCAGACATAGCAAGTTGACACTCCGGAATATGCGAAGCTTCGTGATGAGTGGATGGCTCATCAACAATAGCAATCGCACGTGAAAAACCAAGGCTCAATAGTAGCACAATCATGTTAATTATGTCTTGATAGCATGTGGCACATCAAAATCAATAGAATCATCAAAGATGGGAGCATTAGGATTGTTGTAGACATAGGCGGGAGAATGAGGCGGAAGCGTTGACCTATTGGATGACGGTATATACTTATCACGCGTTGTATATATGATGGAGGCTCGTCATAAATGGGTGGTGGAGGCTCATCATGAGAGGTTGGAACTAAGGGAGATGGCAAAGAACAAAAAGAAAAAGGAAGACATTAGGAGGAGAGATAATCTATAGAAGAATATGTGAGGTTTGGAAGGGTTATAAAAAAAGGACAAGATATAACATGCGACGAGTGAAAGAACCATAACAACAATGACCCTTATTCTAAAGACTATGCCCCTAAAAAGACTCTCTCCCAATTGAGCAGTCACAAGAATCAAGCAACACATGACATGTACATCCGAAAATCCGAAGATGATCATAACTAGGAGGAGTACCAAAATATACCTCACTAAGACACTTACCATACAATTTATTGGAGGACGAATGTTGGTTGATAAGATAAACAGTTGTAGACATAATTTCTCTCAAAAAAATGAGAAGGAACAAAGGAGACAATGAGGAGGGTTAAAGCAGTCTCAATGAGATGGCTGAGATGGCTGTGTTTTCTTCCGCAACACTAGGATAGTTGGGCAAGATTACACTCAGAGGTAAAAAACTTACGAGAGTTGTCACACAAATACTCACCACCAGAATCAAAACGAAAAAGTCGAATGAGATTAGAAACTGAGATGAACCATACGAGCAAAATCCTTATAAATTGAACACAACTGAGCATAATGTTTCATAAAATTGATCCAAGTATATCGAGAATGATCATCTATAAAAAGAATATAAAAAGAACATAATATTTATTGCCACCTTTGTTAGGAAAAGGTCCTAAAAGGACGGGCCTATACATTATAGTGAACAAAATCAAAAGATTTAGCAGAATGAGAAATACTAGTAATATATGGGAGTTGCAGTTGTTTTCCGACCTTGCAGCCCTACCAGACTTGATAGATGTACGACCTAAACAACCATTAGTACCATTACTAATCAAAGTAGACAAACGAGACCTACTTAAATGACCAAGACGATGATGTCATTTGGCGAAGGATGATGTGGAAAACGTGGCAACGAATGACACACGAGCGGTAGAACCAACGAAAGAGGGAAGGTGCAAAGTGTAAGATGTAGAGACTCGGAGAACCTCTATGGCGATGGCCAGCTCCAGTTATGAATAAAATAAGACGAGTCATCAAATCCAACAAGATAAGTGACCTGATGATAAGTGACGTGCCAACTGGATAAGATATTAGGTACTGAAAAATGTGAATTGCACAGGGAGCCCTCATGCGTGATATAACAAGATGTGCCGTCCTCGATAAAAATGCCATCATCTGACAACTACTCCCCTTCCCCTGGAATGAGAAAACAATTCGTTAACCAGTCTTCCCCCAATGCTTACAAGTTTCTGAAGAGCCACCTCTACGTGCACTAGTCGTGGGGACGATGTTCTTTGAGAAGTTAAGAGTTATGTGAGTTTGAAAAGGAGCAACTGACATAGAACGAAGACGAGTTTTAGCAGCAATAATGATGTGCCATGGATAGAGTGGAAGAGTCACGAAACAACCGTGTACGAATGGACTCGAACGCTCGTACTCCCATTACAAAGCGATAGATAAAGAATTTTTTTCAACAAATCAATGTGTTGAACACTTCTTTTCTATGCATCAAGGTACCATGGAGATCAACAACCATCAAGTGATCAAAAGTAGAATAGTAATCATCAATGGTCATAGTTCTGTTCTATCACATTGATTCGATGCATAAGTGTGTGCAGGAGTGCACCACTATCCTGAACATAGCGTGTTGCGAATAGGACCACATTTTCCTTGACTCTCCAAAAGAGGAAAGACTCATAATATGGATTGCCTGACATTGTTGACGATGGAAACCAGAACTTTCCCATTGATATTGGCAGGATTACTATTATCGTCTTCCGTTCAAGTCCATCATCAGCCAAATGAAAAGTCATGAAAAGCCAGACCATAACCTCTCGACACTGCCCAGTTTCGATAATTTGAACATCAAGAGTGATATTGATAGCTTAAGTTGTCACATGATCAACGATCTATGAACAATACAAAAACAATGATGTATCCAACAAGCATCCACATGCGGCCGACGAGCAGTGCAAAACCATGCAATAAAGAAAATATAGGAAAACGAGGAGCCCCAGGCTGCGATGTTGCGACGAGAAACATAGAAACACACAAACCCTAAGCCCCGAGAACTGACAGAATCTCATATATAGCAAAAACAGGAGCCAAAACCTCCCAAAATTGAAAACTGGAAACATCACCAGCAAGATAATGAAATACCTGGCCCACGGAAGTTTGTCGAAAAAAATTCTAGCGAGGCACGCGCCTGTACATGAGGCAGTCGGCTACAACTTTATCTGGCACGTGCGGCCCACACTTGCAGAGTTTCACTGCAGGATTTGGCCAGAAAGTTAATTATGAGGCGACAAGGTGATTGGTGTGGAAGGACACGTTAGAGTCGAAAGGCTTCAGACTTAGTAGGATGAAGACCGAGTACATGACGTGCGCTTTTAGCATGGCTACACATGATGATGGTGACATAAGCCTTGACGGGTAAGTGGTGACCAAGAAGGAGACTTTCCGGTATTTAGGATCGATGCTACAAAAGGATGACGGCATTGATGAAGATGTTAGACATATAATTGCAGCCGATTGGTTGAAATGGCGTTAAGCTTCGGTCTTCTGTAATAAGAGGGTGCCACAAAGGCTAAAAGGTAAGTTCTATAGGACGGCGATTCGCCCGGCAATGCTATACGGTGCTGAATGTTGGCCTACAAAAAGGCAACATGTCCAACAACTAAGTGTAGCAGAGATGCGTATGTTGCATTGGTTTTGCGGGCACACAAGAAGGGATAGAATCCGAAATGAGGATATTCGAGATAGGGTCGGGGTGGCTCCAATTGAGGAGAAATTGGTTCAACATCGGCTGAGGTGGTTCGGACATGTCCAACGGAGGCCTCCTGATGCACCGGCGCGTAGAGGAGTTCTACAACGCGTCGATGATGTAAATAGAGGTAGAGGTCGGCCTAAACTCACTTGAGAAAAGTCGGTTAAGAGAGACCTTAAAGATTGGAATATCTCTAAAGATTTAGCGGTGGATAGGAGCGCTTGGTGGCTAGCAATCAATGTGCCGGAACCGTGACTTTTGCTTCTTTCTCTTTTGCTCCAATCTCTTCCTTTCGTTTTGAGCTCTTTTTGTGTTTCTCTTACCATTGGTTTTCTTGGGTTTCATTTCAAGACTACCCCAACTTGCTTGGAACAAAAAGGCTATGTTGTTGTTGTTGTTGTAAGGTGATTGTTGTGGGAGGTGATGTTTGAAAGGAAAGAAAAAAAACCCTATTTGTTTTGCACGGATATCATTTTACAAACTTAGGGTTTTTGAGTAGATGCCCTCCTTTATGAATGACCATATATGTAGTGTTCTTCATGGGTCTTATGAACCTGTCATGTAGGGGCTAGATATACTTAACAAGTTTTATAGAAAATGGGAAGACTTAATACAAATTGTTAGGAAATTTTGGGTTTATGTGACTAGATAAGGACACCTGGAGTTGACCAATCAGCCATAGTGACATGATTAGAGAATGCGTGAGTTTGAAAAGTGGAAAAGAGGCTTTGGTTACCTAATGCACCAGAATCAACTACCCATTATGTCCCTTGAGAGAAGAGACATATAGTAAACTTGCTAGCCGGAAATGTCAGCATTGGAATTACTAACAGTCTCACAAGACAAAGTTACACTCAATATTTATAGTGTTGGAATTGTGATTACCGCGATGCGGTACTCCATCCTTGAGAACCACCTCAAAAACCCCCATGAGATGAACCATGAAAATTACCACCATGACTCATGAGGAAGATGGTAGGAGGGTCGGGCATCGATGCCTGAATGCTTTCTTTGCGAAGAAAGCGTGCAAATGAATCTAGCAAAGAAGGTATTTCAGGACAGGAGCTGAGGGAGAGGGTTCCCAACCACACATGCACAATAACAGACTTAACAACAAATTGATGTGGGACAAACATGTCTTCTAACACCCGCCAGCAGGCGTAGCTGGCCAAACCAAATGGGTCCAGTTCAAACCCAACATTCCCTCCAAACACAAACAAACAAACCTAAGTGCTCTGATAACATGATAAATGGGCTTGGGTAGAACTCATCTCCAAAAGCTAGCTCAAAGGGAGAGCGTGCCGAACCACATTTATACGAAATAACACGAGTAACTAATTGATGTGGGACAAACATGTATTCTAGCATCAATCAACTATCGACAAACATGTCTTCTAACATCAATCAACTATATGAAGGTTGATGTATGAATTGTATCCGAACTTAAAATTATTTCATCTTTCACATTTGAAGTCATGCGTATCTGTTTGGAAATTAGAAATTTGACTTTGTCTTCAGTCTCTCAACCAGAACAGTAGTCTTTTTGTATCATATTCTTGTTTCCTCATCTTTTCTAAAGAAGAATTCCAATTCTTTTCAAATATCCGACCTCACTATTAGAATGTTTGCTTTTTCATCATTGTAGATTTTGGTAATGATGGCTCTTCGATATACTATCGTTATTAGAATTTTTTGAACATTTATATTAACCATGTCTTGCAACAACTGTAATCTGACTCTTCACATGCAGGGAATTGCATTCAGCAAGATTACGAAGGCTAGGAATGAAGGTTCGCCTTATGGGAATGTTGAAACAAGAGCTTATCTTGAAAAGAAGCTCGTGTTTACCTTTGGCTCGTACGTGGCGTCAGGGCTACTACTTCCCATTGGGGAAGAAAGTATTCTTCCTTGTTTAGAGTTGAAGGATGCCCGGGAGGTTGTAGTTGCTTTTAATCTTCTCTCACCCTCTCTCTCTTTCTCTCTCTCACTATTGCATTGCTTTCTAATTTTAATTGGTCTTTTACGCAGATAGCTACTAGGATGGTTATGCAGTATGGGTGGGGTCCTGATGATAGTCCGACAATCTACCACCATGGAAATGCGGTATTCATCTTTATATAAGTAGAAAAAATTTAATTCCATCTTAAAGGGCATTGACATGAAATTTTGCCTATTATAGTAATAACATTTATGAATCTTGATTCCCCGTGTCATATAACTTTATAAGCATGCTGTCTGAAAGAACAAATCTTATAATGACTTAGAACATTTTGGCTTTTCAAACAGTATTTTCTTTGTTGAAATTAGTCAACTACTCAACTCTTGCATCAAAGATCACTCTCGAGCTTTTCTCATATTCTGCATTTGGAACAGGGATCAGACATTGCAAAATTCTAGTTAGGTAGTTATCATTTTGCTTACCTTTGTTGTTTCAACACTAGGATGAAGCATCAGTATCTTCATTTTTTCTTACATCTTCACCGGCTTTAGTTTCAGCTCTTTCTAAAGCCTCTTTTCTCAGTTATTATTAGTTGTGTAGGGATTATATTAAGCTATTCCTGTAGAACATTATTGTGGAATTCCAGCTAGGCATAGTTCTGCTATGTATTTATGAATTTCAGTCTAGGGGTTCATGTTAGATACTGATGAATGACATCATTTATCTAAGTACATTAGTATTTGAATTTTAGTCTGTACACATTAAATGATAGATTAAGCAAGTAGCTTCCCAGGATTTTCAAACATGCTTAAAGTGTCACAATGATAAGCATATTGACTGTTCATTGTTGTCACAGACTACAACTCTGAGTATGGGAGACAACTTTGAATATGAGATGGCTGCTAGAGTTGAAATGGTATGTTTATGCACATATTCTTATTGGTGATCCTTTGTGTTCTTACATATATATAAAAAAATGCATAAAGTATGTTATCCTTGTCTCATGTTTTATTTCAGTGACATAGGGGAATTTCTGTGCTAGTTTAAAAATAGAAGTCATAGAGTCTCGTGATTTTAGGTAGTTTTATGTTCCGATCATTATATTACCACCAAGAGGCCACAAGATCATATTTTGATATTTGCCATGCCAAGGGAGAACTGTCCCAAGTGAGAACTAATATATGTGAGGCGAAATTGTTTTATGTAGTTGATAATCTTGCAAATGTAATGTCTATATATGTGTGAAAAAATATGAAGTTCTTCAACTTCATAATAATTATACAAATACATCGTAAGTAATAATATAAGAGTATTAATCCAGTTACATAAAAAGAAACCCAGATTTTCTAACTAGGAAAGGGAAACAAAGTCTATGGAGAGGAAAATAATAGAGTTATCTGAGATTTATCCAGATCTCACATGTAAAATTATATCATTCCTTGTATACATAAATAATATTTCCATACTCTCCCTCAAGTTGGGTTGTACAGATTGTACATGCCCAGCTTGCAACTCAGCAACACAATTCTTCAAATCTGGATCTTGCTAGAGCTTTAGTGAGCGTGTCAGTTGTTTGATGTTTACTTGAGATGTATATTGGCTCCACAACTCAAATCTTCAAATCGGGTGACCGCATGTTTCACCAATTTCCTTTTATTTGTGAAATGTCTCAACAAACTCAAGGTACTCGAGTGGGTGTAGATAAACCGCACAAGGTTGTTCCCACTTTTGATGGTTTTCTTATCAGAACTGAGAACTGATGTCTTCATGATCAATGCAATGAGCCGCATAAGGAGTCCAATAATGATGTGGTCTTTTGCCCTACAACACTTTGCCAACGGCCACATAATTGCTTCTATTCTCCACGTTAACTTGGACAACTTTCTTCTCTCCAATCTCCTCCACAAGAGAATCGAGAAGTTCAAATACCCGCCTATGAATTCACCAAGAAATTAATGATGCATCTTGGCTTCCTATCCGTTCAAGCATCAGACATAGAGCCACGATCCTCTTCCACTCCGCCTCTTGATCTTTCATCAAGTTCTTGACATAATAGAGCAACCGATCCTCTTCCACTCCGCCTCGTGATCTTTCATCAAGTTCTTGGTGTAATCATTATTTAAGAGTGGAACTCTAATCTCGTGGAAGCTCGGAATTCGCAAATGTGGGCCAAAGGAACCAATGCCAGCAACCATATCTTTGAAACACGGATGTTTGATAAGATTGAATGACAAGTTGTCGTGATACCAAAAGTTTGAATTAAGTTCATGGACCCTAGCCATTGATTCTTTGTCACATGCCTCTCTTATGCTAACTTGTTATAGTTTTTCCTTCTTCCTCTTGCTAATAGCAATATCAGACTTTCGGCAAAATAGATCAATCGGACCTTTCAACTCAGCAGCATTCTTTCTCGGAGGTGGTAAAAGAGTGTCATCATCTTCGTCACAAATTGAAACATAATTGGTATCACCGATATCTGTTTTTACCTCCACATAAGCTCAAGTTCTTCTCGGACTTCCGCCTGAAATATTTTGCTTGCTGCAACATCGCCTCTTTTCCCATCAAATAGTTTTTGGCTCTTATTCTTCCCTTCATAATTTTCTCGCAATATTTACAAACAACTGTGTTTGTATCTCCATCATTGGTGCATGACAAAATTTCCACCCGATGTCATTTTTAGTGTTGGACCTGCTGGCCCTTATAAAATGAATACTTGTCAAATGATAGCCCAAGTTAACAAATAATAAAAATATAAGCTTATGAACTTCAGCACTAAGCCACTAAATAATAAAGATAAATTTGAATATTCCCCCTATGTATAATTCTCGAATGCACTGAGCCTACGTGGCTGCTTCTGGTGCTTCGGAATTCTACTTGGCGAAAAATCATGCTTCGTAACTAAGATTGGACAAATAATATTGATAGTTTATTAATTAATAATCTAGGTTCGGACATTCCATAAATATTATATATTGAGGCACTAAGTTACTAATATATTCATGACTTTTGATTTGTTTCCTTCAATTAGCTACTGAATTGTAAATGTATTTTAGAAGTTGATAACATTTGTATTTCTTATCGGTTTTACATATATAATATATTAAATTAATCATCTTTCGATGATTTTCGATTTAACATCCATATTATATATATGAAATAAATAAATTATATTTATTTTTATAATAATAATAATTAACAATATTTATTAAAATTCATTAGAAAATAAAATTACTTCTTAATTGATATATTTATGTATAATGTAGTTGTATGTTGTAAGTTATAAAAATTATTATAATATAACACATGTAAGTCGCACAAATAAAAAGTGTTATACTAAATATATAATAATATATATATTTTTATAAAAGGTATTTAAATTTCAACTATTTTTTCTCATTAATTTTAGATTTTAAGAAAAAATTAGCAAGCACCCGTGTAATACACGGGCGTTGTACTAGTAAAACACAATGTAGCAATTAACGAAATTTAGTATAAATTTCACCATTACACATCACTAAACATAATGCTTGCTTTTCAAAACTATTCTTGCTTTCACATCATTATTAATTATGAACCTAATCCTTTATCTGATCAAGGAAAATAATAAAATAAAAAATAAAATTAAAATTGCCCTAAATCTAAAAACAGAAGGAAGAAAAAGGAACAAACCGGAGCTGGAGTCGCTGGTCTACGGTCGCCGGAACTGGAGTCGCCGGTCCGTGGAGTGTTAGTTAACGGAGGTATGAGTGGGTAGGCTCGCAGCACGGGCCGAGAGTTAGGGTTTTATGTTTTAGGAAAATGACAGGGATCCCGACTCGATTGTAGTTTTGTTTAATATTTTTATTCTTCTTTTTCTTTTGGACTGTTTTTTTAACTAAAAATGGCTCAAATTTCCACCATTTCACGCCATAGGCGCCATACTGCCATGGCATCTCCATTGCAAATCCGGCGTATATCAAACAGCGGATGGCGGCCTGGCCAAACACCGCCACGCCATTTTGCCATGGCGTCCGCGTCGCCATGGCGAAAATTTAACAACACTGCCTAATGGACATGTCGTTTTGTTCAATCACGTGAATTTGCTGCATATTTGAATGCAAGAGTGCACCACTATCCTGAACATAACATCCTTGCAAATAGGTTCACATCTTGGCTGTCCGAATAGAAGAAAGGCTCATAATCATGGATTGCTGGACACTTTTTGCAATGGCAGCTATCAGTTTCCCGTCATTAATATGCCATATATGATGTTAGCAACATTACTATTATCGCCTTTCATTCCGGTCCATCATCAAAGGGGAAAGCTAAACCACAACCGCTCAATACGGTTTCCACTAAAAAGCCCACTCCCAATAATTATGTCAGTAATCGATATTGTGATTCAGTGATGTATGACAACAACTATGCCTTCGCGACAGGCGAACGACAACAATTAAGTGAGATACGACGAACGTGCCCAGAAGATGCTGTTAGACGCATCGTAAGACCGCATGACGGGTGAATAGTGACATAATAAGACGAGGGGAAAAAACCCTAACCCAAAGTGTTGTCGGACCTGAAGCATGCCAAACGGAACACCAAAATCGCCCAAAACACAAAACTAACAACACTGCCGAGAAGCCTAAAAGATTCCGAGCCGATGGTCCGTTGCCCGAAAAAAACCCGGCAAGCCACGTGCCCACACGTCCAGGCGCGTGAGGATGGCTACATGTTTTTCGACGGCGCATGGGACCCAAACGCGCGGACTCTGACGATGAAAAATGATCAGAAGGTTGATCCTAGGGCGACGAGGCTATTGGTGTAGAAGGTGAGATCCTGGCCGGCCCTTCGGGTAGGGAAGGCCGGGCGACCCAGGGCCCACTTTTTTATATTTTTTTAATATTATATAATATTGAAACAAAATTAATCTTAAATCTAAATTTTTTTATCCTTTACAGAAGTTTTTTTAATATTTTATCCACCTTATAAATTTCATGACAATATTAAATGGTAGTTATTATTAGTGAAATTAATTTTTTTACATATTATTTAATTAATGCTTAGTTAATATTCTCTTCTTGCTTTTTTTTTTCTTTTTTTTTTCGCAACGACAGATATATATTGCACAAAATATAACAGATCGATAAGCCAACTGGGTAATACAGGCAGCCCCAAGGAGAACTGCATCAAAATACGGCCTACACTAGACATGGCCAAAAACCGGGTCAGGCCACCGAGTTGGGTTTTGACGACCCTGAACCGGCACGGACCTAGGGTAGTGCCGGGTCCATGACCCGGTGGGCTGGCCGGGCCTGACCCGGGTTTGGACTCTTCCACATAAAAAAAAAAAAATTCAAAAGTAATGGTTTTTTTTCGTGCCGACACGGACCCGGCCCGGCCTGCCGGGTCAAGGTAGAAAAAAACATGACCCTTGACCGGCCCGTTTGAAATTCGTGCTGGGCTCGGACCCGTGGTCAACGGGTTTGACCGGGTCGGGTGACCCGTGGCCATGTCTAGCCTACACTAATACCAAAACAATACACAAAATGTTATTTTATGTGTACAATTCAATCATGTTAGTGATAGTCAATAAAAGGTTAAGTGAAGTCAAATCATTTTCAAACGAGTTTCAATTTAGATTTATTTTTAAACTTTGTTAAATATAAAATAAAAACTAATACTTTCCAATAAAAATATCTATATAATTATGACTGAGTATTATGTACTTCACTAGGCACAAGTCATATATTTAAGTAAAGGAAACTTTGTAGCTTTACCTACTTATTTTTTTCTTTGAATGAAAATGATGTTAGTCCCTGCTCGTTCACTGCTCAGGTAAGCAAAAATGCTTCCGGCACAAACGAACACTTTTAGAATGAAAGAAGGAGATTGTGAACAATTCAATTTATTGAGTATTATGTTTTTCTGTTTGTTTACAAAACAAAAACTGCATCCCTATTTATAAGAACTAAAAACAACTATCCTAGTGACTTTCCTAGAAATTATTTAAGTTGAAAAGTCATGAAAAATCAGCCTAAAATGGCT